ACACGTCTATTATTGATCATCCTCTCGTGAATAATTAACTACCCTCAGCGTATTGCACAGTTACGCAAATAGGAACACACAAAATTATTGCTTAAAGACTATTACCGTTATCTTATTAGCGAAACTTAAATAATCAAGTGCTGAGTCCTGTGGATATGCCCGACATCCCACCCCCTCCGGCATTCACAAATGGTTGTCAAGAGTCGGAACCAAACGACACAATTCTGGTTCAACAGGAAATACCATCTCCTACTATGCAACACTCACCATTACCACTGTGCCGTAACGGATCACCAGCTACGGATCGCAGTTCACTCCAATCACAGGATACCTACAACACTCTCACAAGAGGTCGATCTCCCCAACCAAGTTATTGGGTGGGTAATCTTCACTTCTGGAAGAGTTTGCAAAACAGAGAAGGCGTGGACTCGTTGAACTCTCGAACTCAAAAGGATAGTGAACAAGATAAGAAGGTAAGTCATACCGATTAGGTAATTCACTTTAGTTAAGTATTTTTGAAAAATGATAAAGGGAAACCGCTCTTTTAGTTCTGTTGAAAGAAATTTTCAAGGCACCTCCCCCAAACTACCAAAGTTCTTTCAACAATACATTATTCGTTGAAAAAGTTGGAACAGATATCGAATTTTGACGAAGCCATCGATATTTCTCATTTTCAGTATAGCTGTAATAGTAATTTAGTTATATGACATTTTCATTTAAATTAAACTTGCGAAAGAGACGAATATCAGGTTACATGTAATTGGTTACTGTAATTTAGTAGGGCTGTATCCTTCTTTCCTAAATGGCATTTTCTTTATTCGCGAAGCTTCCAAAAATCGATGTTAAAGGTGAGGAGTATTGGCTTTATTGCTTCTAAACTTTATGCTTTACTTAATGGAAACTTTACTCAAACAAATTATGATGAATACAACAATCAGGCAGATTTTAAAGATGCAAAAATTCAAAAATATACTTTTCCTTTCTCAAAGTATGGGCCTTGATGATGATGTGCTAATTAGTCGAAATATCGAGATATTCACAATCCTGTGAAACACATTTGAGCATGCCTATTAGAGAAAGAGTATTGTGCTTTAACCAAAATCAGTGAGTGTTATTAAACAAGGGTGAATGGACCACATTCCTTGATGGAAATGGGAAGGACTTGATGATACGATGACTCGAATACAATTATATCCTGCCAAAAATGACAGTGATAAAGCAGTATTGTAATTCTTGTGTTCGTGTTTATTTAACATTTATTTATTTAAATCAAATGGCAGGCGTCTTGATAGGTATCATTAGCCCTGGAGCTGACTTCGGGGCTTCACAGAGAGAAGAAGGAACATCAAAGTGGCAAAAAGTCGAGATGAAAGACAGAATAATGATTCACAGAGGTAAAAGAGACAGACAGACAGACACAAAGGCATTTAAAAGGTAAGATGAGTACTGCAAAAGGGGTCGAATATGACAAATAGTAGAGCCATAGAAGTTTGAATTCAGAAGTCAACTGCCGATCAATAGACTTTTTTCCCGCATAAGTATACGTTGTCCAGGGTGCACCACGTGGAGGTAAGTCTATTGCGCACCCCTTATTTAACATTATATAGGCTCTTCTAAACATTTTAGATGAAAAAGAACCGTGTCAATTTGAGAAATTATTTACTATAAAATTATTTGACATAACGTTTTAATTTTGATTTATGTATTTATATTTGTGAATTGCGAATGGCAATTAAGTTAATAGCTTTTCAATCGGTGAAAAGTGATTAAGATGCAGATTTAAATTATAAAATGGTTATTTTCCACAAATTTTAAATGAAAAATTAGAAAAGGTAGCGAAAAAACTAGAAATAAAAGAAAACCTGTCTGTTTCTGCCTTCTTCTTCTTTTCTTGAATGCTTTCAATTTTGTTTAATAATGTATTCACATGTAGATTTAATCACAGTCAATTTCATGCATCTTCCATTTATTTGTTTTGTCGTTATCGAAAAATACTTCTACTAACATCAAACAGATAGTGAGCAAACGTACACTTTATTTATAAGAAATTTTTCAATATAAACGCTCCATGATCAGCTAATGCGTCATAACAATTTTACTTCTGACCAAAAGATGATTCAGCTCAGAGTTGATTAAATATTTATTTATTTATTTCAAATGGCAGGCGTTATGATAGCTATCATTTGCCATTTAGCTGACTTCGGCTTCACAGAGGGAAGGTTAATCAGAGTAGCAGAAAGTCGAGGGGTGGGGAAGAGAAGAGCGATTCACAGATGTAAAAGAGACAAACAGACACAAAGATAGAGAAAAAGGTAAGATGAGTACTGTGGAAGGGGTCGAATATGCATACAGTGGGGTCATGGTAGTTTGAAGCGAGAAGTCAACTACCCGTCAATAGATTTTTGCCGTATGAGTATACGTTGTCCAGGGTGCACCACGTGGAGGTAAGTCTGTCGCACACCCCAGTTGATTAAATATTAATCCTCTGATAGGCTCAAAGACCTCTTCACTGAGGAGTCGAGACTTCCTATCATATGTTTGGCTGCTGCCTTGGGACTGTTATTGGCCAGGGCCATTGAGTTTGCTTCAAGATTGTGAGCCATTTTTTCGTTAGCCTCTTATCGAAATAGACTTCAAAACCATAAGAGGATTTTAATTCACTTCTGTCATGCTTGCTATCGTAATTAAAGTAGTGAAAAGCAAGAAACAGAATTAATTTATTTATTTATTTTGTTTCTTTTAAAAATTAATATTAATTCACCTAACTTTGTAAGATATCTTTTACCTTCCCACTACAAATTTCAAATAATAAATGATATATTGACATTGAATATTGTTTATCTATTACCGTGGAGATATCCTTCTGGAAGAAGAATATTCGCACATCTTGTCAATTTTATATACACATATTTTTTCAAATATGTGAACTCGATAAATGATTCAGATAACAAAACTAATTAAAGAAAATCAGTTTAACTTATGTAGTACATGATCCTAATACGAAAAGACTTAATAATCGTATGCGCACTAGAACATTCTTAATGGTGCGTCGTGGGTGTAGAGGCCTTCCCAAATAATTGACAACTAATATGCATTCTTGTTTTGTTACACGAATTCTTTTACTAATGTTGGCAGTGATCATACGTACTCACTGCACACTTATTTCCTCTTTATCGTTGAGGTAGATTAACTAATTTCGGAAGCCATTCCAAACTAGAATATTTTACCACGGAGATTGCCTTGGACAAGTCACAGTTTATTCGTATAGTAACCCTCTAGAAACTGTGATAGAAGGATACGAAGTTGTGAAATTCGATCGTGTTTCATTGCTTTCTTATGAAATCTTGCATGATTTTCAAGGTCGTTCTCCGAGTTCACCAACCGGATCGGACCACCAAGGCAGTGTATGTCCAATCACAAACAGATGCCGGTGAGGTGGTGCTGATGCTTGCGGCCAAAAACTTCCTTCCCCTCAGCACAAAAATGGCACTTGTCGAAAAGGTGCCCTCAATGAAGTTGGGTAAGATACAGCTTCTAGAAGCCCTGCCCTCGTCTTTCACTTCATCTCCACTTAACAGTTGTCTAAATTGAATTTTGTGCGCGTGCAGTTTATGAAGTTAAAATACATTGGTTGCAGGTAGTTGTAGCTGCTAACATCAACAGAAAACAACTTCGTGCAAATTTTTATCACCTCGGGCAGGACAGTGTGATTCACCGATAAACCTTAAATAGTACTTATTTTATTTTTGACAATTGGTTCAAAAGTATAGTTCGCGATAAGATCAATTGAGGATGGAGAGGCAGATAGAACATGCTATAAATAACCAAGTAAAAAAGGAGTTTTTCTTTAGACATCTAATTCACCTTTTGAAAGCAACTGATAGAACTAGAATAGTATAACTGCCTACAACAAAGACAAGATATAACGAGCGCAGCAAAATGATCCAGTAAGGTGTTAGGG